TGAACTACAGTGCCAAGGCACTTCTATAAGATGCTAATGAGCAAAGAGTGCACTGGTCCAGCTTTAGACATTGATTTTTTCAGACTTCTAATGGGACCACAAATCAGGCGGGAAGTAATGCAAATTGGAAACAGAAATATTATTTTCACATCTCACACACATGAAGCAGCCAAGGCAGAGAAGAAACCAGATGGCAGGCTTTTAAAATTAGGTGTGGAGATGGGAAGCCCGCAGGAGATTAAGGGAGAAGATAAACCTTTGCAGCTGGACTTCTTTTCCCTGCTTTTGTTTCTGAGGTTCTAGAAATTTTCCCTCTCTCCTCTTTCCTTGCCAAGAATCCGTTATATTCCCTAATATGCCAGGCTTTACGTTTGTTACAGAAAAATGTGTCTGGTCCTCCCTTGTTCTTTTTAGTTCTCTTTCTCTCTCTCTCTTTTTTTTTTCCCCCATCCTCCGTTTCTTTCTTTGTTTCTGCTTCACCCTCTGAGAAGTTTTCTCCTTATTTTTCCTTTATGTACAGATTCAGATTTCAAAAACGTGTGCTGATACAATACAGCAAAATAAATGTTCAAGTATAATGAATACACCAACTCAGAGTCACAGACTCTTCACCTTCCCCAAATATTCACAGGAGTGTGAATGCTGGGGTCATTGTGCTACATCACTGACCGGGATTAGCTATTTTTTCTGATACGACTGTTGGAACTTCTGCCATAGACACATTTGGCACTGCAGCTAAAGATGTGTCTCTGTGTGCTGTACCTCAGCAAATGAAAATGAACTGTTTCACAGAGTCATTGCTGGCTGCTTAATGGTGATGCTCTGGGCCCTTCTTATGTTCATCCCTTACATACTGAATGAATAAAAGTGCATGCATTTTGGATCAGCCTTATTTAACTGTGCCAATTGCACTAAAAATGAAATAGGAGGGATACTGTAAAATATTTTATAAACACGGAGGTAAGGTTACTGCATCCTTTGTATTTACCATGTCAGATACACAATGTGCTGCTTTAGTTCCTTCCTCAATCCATCGGAAATGCTTATTTTTCATTATTTTGAAGTACGAGATTTCAGGTTGCACTGTGGGCAAACATACTGAATGTTAGTACGTGTGAGCAGTTAACAGCAAACAACTGCCATGTCATGTTTAGGATACATTGTGGGTGGTGCACAGCTCTGGCCCCAGCATGGCTTGGTGTCCTGCCCCTCTTATGAAGCCGATATTGATATTTAATACATGATTCTGTTCTCAATTCACTGACTGCCACACCAGGGACAGAAAAAATGTCATTTTCTTTGCAGCTCCTACAAGTAATTGACAGGGCTTGCTATTAAGCACCACCTAATTTCCCCTGAAAGATTTGTCCAAAAGGGAGCGTTCCCAATGGAGCGCACAACTGCAGCATTTCCCTTGAAAATCCCACAGTGTGTGACAGTGCCTCTGTGATGGAGACATGAATCATCCGGGAGGCAGCACAGACAGTGACAGTTCCTTATCCAGAGGAACTGAGATAAAAGTTGGCGAGATGCAATTTGTGGCTACACAAAAGACATCCAGCCCAGCACTGGGCTACTGACTGCCCGGCTCAGGCACCCGCCAGGTCGGAGGCTGGGAGGGCTTTGTTCAGTCCTTTCTGAGAAATACAGATATGCTGGTTGCTCATGTACATCTCTAAGCCTTCACTGGATCCTCTTAAGCTCTCAACTATGATTTCACTTCATGACTACAGATTTCAAATTTATTCCATCGAATAACAAAGCACTTTTCCCATCCATTTCAAATCCGTTGCCTTTCACATTTTTCTATCTTCCCTTGATGTATCTGTACCAGTTTTCACAATAACAGTCGTGAGACTTCATATATATTTTCTTCATGCTTCCACCTGTTCTTTTTTATTGTTTATTGGGATTAAATTACCAGTAGAGCTGTACTAGAGACAGTTTATGTAATTAACATGTGAATGACATTTCAGTGCTTCGTGCTTGTGGGGAGTTTGTAATTTTCATCTTCTTGTGTGTGTGTGTCATTTGCTGAGCTAAATATTTACATTGCTTTGAACAAAGAGAAAGTATTTTTAGTCATATATATATATATTTATATAACAAATTGCTCTATGTCCATGAAATCTCAGTAAACAGACCTTTGTTTTACATTCCATTGAAGGAAATAGCCTGATTCAAATTACAGAGAACAGAATCCAGTTCAACAAGGAATGAAAATTGAAGTCATTTGTGGGGGAAGAGGTAACTGTGAGCAGTCACCAAAGAGTTTATCAGAGTCCTTGACAGACCCTATCACTGTGAAACCTTGGGAGTCTGGAGCGTAAGACAGAGATCAAACGGTATCTGTTTGTGTCCAAGGGTAAACAGGAGGTTCTGTTTGTATGCACTGTTTATCTTATCACACTCAAGAAACCTTTCATCCTTTATCACTGTTGTTTGGGAGAAGCTGGGCCAGTTCACTGATTAGAGGGACAGGAATTTCGGGCTTGTAAGTGAATGGTATATAAGATGTATGTTGAACACAATAAAGAGAACGATTCTGAGAACTATTCTGATGCTACAAGAGCTCTCTAACTCGACTGAGCGCCGACAATTGGCCGGAACACGGACCTGAAACTACACCTGACTTGAAGACTGAGCGGTCTGGAGCACGCTGACAAAAGCGGGGATGCGCTGAGAGAAGCGGCACGACCTGAGGATTCATCCCCCCAGCAGCTCTGATTGCCTTTCTCCGGTCGAAGGTAGGCCACTGCGTTTCCATGGGGAATAATATGAGCTCAGAACAAAAGAATGCCCTAGTTTCTTTTCAAATTACTCTTAAAAAATGGGACAAGACGGTGCCCGCTGACGTTTTACAGCAGATGCTTGTATGGGCTGCCAAGAGTGACCCCTCGATCACAAATCAGACGATTTACGATCCTGAAGTACGGGACCGGGTCGGGGTGAAGCTACGGGACGCTGCTACGGAGGGTGATAAGACAGCGTTCGGGTTGCTTCAGACTTAGAGAAAAGTCTTTGAAGTGCTAAAGAGCCACTTGAGATCGCAATCTGATGCCCCCAGGCTGCCTGAGGGCAAGGAAGCGGCTGGTTGCTCTACGGATCAGCCCGCAATGCCATCGGCTCCCCGCCACCGCCGTCGGATGGGGTTTTTGCTTCCTCCCCTCCCGAGGATGCCGGTGGCCCTTTTCATCCAGGAATAGATAAAGAAGAGACGGATTTGTCCCCTCCTGATCCACGCGCAATTGCTGGAAGTCCCTAGGAAAGCCGGAAAGACAGATAGGTTGAAAGTTTTCCCTGTTATCATAGCCCCAGACCAAGAGCCACGTTGGGAAGCGTTATGGCATAGTGTCCTGCAGGACTTGGCTCGCACGGTCACACCCGTGCCCCCATGTGAAGCACTGGCAGGCGCTTGTATTGCTCAACTGATTTATTCTCAGGCACAGCCAGTGCCAGCTGCGCCCATGAAAAGGGGTGCTGCGGGGTTTGGATCAGCGGGGACCCCCAGACAGAAGTTTGATGTTTCAGGAGTTTTAACACTTAACTTAAAAGACTGTTTTTACACCATCTCTCTGGACCCCCACGATGCTCCTAGGTTTGCTTTTTCATCCTCTCTGTAAAGCATCAGCACCAGCCCAGCGGTATCATTGGACGGTGTTACCTCAGGGCATGAAAAACAGCCCTACAGTCTGTACAAATAATGGCCCGGGATATATATCCCAGAAAGTATTGCAGTATTACAGCATTACAAGATAAGCCATAGCTGAGCATACCCATAGCATCCTGAAAACTGTGCTACTTAAGCAAAACAGAAGGAATGGAGAAGGCATTTCCAGCGGGAAGGCTTGCTAAAACTACACACGTATTGAACTTTTTAAATCAAGGATGTGAATACACAGGACAAGCAATAGCCCTCATTTCATTTCAGTTAATTAGGAAAGAGTGAATATTAATGGAAAAGCTATAAGCATATATATAAAATCTGGAATCAGGTCAGTGGGAAGGCTCATTCCCACTGATAACTTGGAGGAGAGGAAGAATCTTTAGGATAAACTGTACTGGTTATTGTCACTCTCTTTGTGATTGTTAAATGTTTATAGCATATGAAAGTGTAAATGTAAATGGTATATGGGATTGTTAATGGTGTATGGAATTGGAATTGTTAACAGTATACAGAAGTGTAAATGTTAATGCTATATGGAAGTGTAAACATTAATCCTATGTGGAAGTGCAGTTATTAATGGTACACGGAAGCGTAATTGAGGGGACAAATAATGGAATTGTGAAAAACAAAACAACAAAAACAAACAAACAAAAAAAAAACAGCAAAAAGTTTAAACAACAGTGAGTTAAAATGTTCAAGTCTGTGACCTGCTCCAGCCAAAGCAGGTAAGTGCCGGCAAGAGAACGCAGCCCCCGCGCTGCTCCTCCCCACAGTTGTAATCAGAACGTAAACAAAGCGTTAGTTGCGAATGGGGACAAAAACAAAACATTGGAAGCGAGAATAGACTTTATCTGCAGAGCTCTAGGAAACTTGATATGCCGGTGTTTGCACGGGAAGCCTTAGGAGGAAGGAGCTGAGAGCGGGGATCCGGGACCCAGAGATCTCCTTAGGAAAAGCTGAAAGGGGGGGCTGGACGGGTCCAGGAGGGTTCAGCCCTCATTGAACAGAAAAGCAGTCAGCGCAAAAAGCAGCGCTGGATTTGGTAACAGATGCAGTAACAGTTAAGGGTGGAGAAAATTAAGCTAAGGAGGAAATTACAACAGCGTGTGGAATTTGTAGTAAATGCTGAAGCAACTAATTTGGTGCTCTTACTGCAGTAAGTGATGGATTTGTAACCATAAGGGAAACTACTGGCAAAAGTGAGGAGGTTTACTTTGTTAAACATTTACAATTTAGTATAGGTAAACAGGTAGGTGTACACACATTTTTGTACATGCCAAATTCATCAAAACCTTTACTAGGGCAAGATTTACTAAAACAACTGCAAACTGAAATAAAGTGTAAAGGAAAATTGGAATTTAAGGTAAAAAGGAACAGTTAATAAAGGTGCTTAGTTTAGCATTAATCATTACCCCTGCTGGGACCAGAACACAGACGAAGTAAGGGATGAGGTTTATCCTGGAGTGCGGGTAGTAGAATCTCCATGTAGGGCTAAGAATGCAGCACCAATAGCATCCAGAATAAAGCAGGGAGCTCAGCTGGTTTAGGTTAAACAGTACTCCCTCAAATTTAAAGAATGGATGACCTGATAGCTACCAGAACAAAGGAGGTAATGCATAACATGGACAATTAACTTACTAAACTTTCTCAGACTTAATGGCTATCAAGTTTCTCCACAGAAAGCCCAAGTGGCACAGCCACAAATTTGCAGTATGGAATCGTTGTGGGATCCTGAGCCCAAGGAAACAGCGAGGAAGGAAACAGCCAGACTCCAGAATAAAAAACGGAGCTAAGGAGCTCCAGACTTTCCTAGGAATGACGAGGTGCTGCCGCCTACAACTAAGGAATACTGGTAAAGCCTCTCTGTGCCTTTTGAAGTCCTGTCCAAAGATCCTCATACATGTTGAGGAAGACAAATAAGAGAAAAGTTGAACTGTGGGAATTAGACACGGACTCCGTTGTTAGTGCAAAACAAAAACTTTTATTGTGTGTGATGAACAATGTGCACTTGCTCAAGTGCTTTATTAAATGTGACTCTCTTGCCACGTTTGGCAGTGCTGGATCTTCCCTCCTGCCCTGAAGTAGATGGTGCTGGAGCTGGGCTCGTACCTCTGGTGCCGTCCTGTGGCACCCAGTCTGTGTTGGTGTGAGTTTTGGACCGAGGCACGGCTCTGTCAGCCTTATCTCAAGTCCATTGTACCTCAGCAGCATCTCCCAGTAGTCGGTGATGAGGTCGTAGAGGCTGTCAAATACGTGGGTGACAGTCAGAAAGAACTTGAGGATGTTAGCGTCCTGCCGCCAATGGATGCGGAAACGCTGCACCTTCTCATTACACCACATGGACAGAATGTAGTCCCCAACATAGGTCTCTCTCTCCCTGATGAGGAAGCAGCCATCAGGGGCCTCCATCTCAGCACAGGACTCCGTCAGCAGCCGCTCGGCCCGCTGCGCCCTGCCCCCAGCCTGCCGTGGATGCAGCTCCACGTTGGCGCTCACCTCCTTTGCGCAGGCCGTCTCCCCCGGCTGTTCACGACTGGGACAACGTACATCAGGTTCCATGTGTAAGCGATGGGATGCTCTGTCATTTGGCCATCCGCCGTCTGCTCCTCTGTCACACACGACCCCGTGGTTCCTTGCCGCTCACCTCCACCAAGCCGCCTCAGTTTTGGTGGGGCTTGCCAATGGTCTTTATAGCATTGGTGCACACTCACGCCAGGTGTACAAGCTAGACGACTCGTGATCATGTTGAGAGGGTCTGTCTGGCATGAATAGTTACAATCTTTTGGTTTTTCTGCCTCCACGTCTGCTGAACTTGTTTGCATCTCTGAAGGTCTCTTGCTAGCCCGAGCAGGAATGTCTTTATTTTCTCCTGATAATATACAGATTAAAGGAATCAAAGTAAGGGACCTGGACAGATTAAATGAGGGGGCTTGGAAAGTATATAGAAACAGGGACTGTAATGAAAGAAACACTGGGAAGAACAGTAGCAGTTGCACTAGAGCAGGACCTTGAAGGACCCAGGATGAGTTTTGCCCCCAGTGGACAGAATGCAGTGCGCTCACCGCAGGGTAAAGATGGTTGTTTTCTGGGGTGCCTCTCACTCTGTGCTGCATCAAGATTACCACCCGCAGATGATTTTTGTAACAGTAGTACAAACAAGTCAACAAGAAAAAGCTTATGAATTAAATAAAAAATGGAGCTAATGGTAAAGCAAGAAACAATGGGAGAAAGAGACTATAGCTGCAAATAACTTCCTGTGAGTATTTTGTTTTGTAGAGAGATTTAATTTAGTGGTTTGTTCTCTTTTGCGAGCAGGTGTTCCACCTGGGCGCTGTATCAGGCACTGGCCATGCAGATGGGGAGCACAAGTGGAAAAAAAAACCTTGCAGACCCTGAGAAGAATAAAAGCAGGAGAGAGTCTGCGATGGGTGAGAAAGGAAAAGTGATCTTTGAAGCAGGGGACGCCCTGCTGGCACTGCCTTTCATGTCCACCACCAGAATGTACCTTCTCTGTCATTTTGGTGGTTTGCCATCTCTCAGGGGGCAATAAGTAATAATACATTAGCTTAGAAAGTTTCCATTTCTCACTTATGGAATATGAGAAATAAATACCTGTGTGAGTGTGTCTATATTGACTCAAAAAATCGTGACCTCCTATGTAACTTAATGTGTTACCAATAGAGGCTTTGATTGAGTTATGATGATTGTGCTCTTAGTATAATTAGTGCTATTATTTTATAGTGTGGTAGCAGTTTGCTAATAAACGAAAAAAGGGGAAAGTTGTAAAGGAGTACAGAGCGCTAAAAAACAAAACTTGTGAATGTACATCAGCTTTGTGAGAACCTGTAATAAATGATTTGGATTGTTCATATCTGAGTCCATGCAAGGACCCAGGTGGACTGAGAGTGCTGAAAGGAAGCTCATGCTGCATGGAGCTGAAAGGAAGTTGAGGCTGGAAGAAGTGCCACGCTGAAAGAAGCAATCCTGTGCGCAGACCTGCTTTTCTCTGGATGAAGGAACAGGTCCAAGATGGGTGGCATATATTCAGGAGTCTCTTCAGGGGTTTTTGCAGGATGGATACAGAATTTGTTAAAAATAGGGTTAGTTTGTCGTAGTGGTTTTTTCTGTGTTTTAATTTGTGTTCCGTGCTTGTTGCAGTATATTCAAAAAATGATACAGGATGCTATGAACCGAGCCTTTTTTATTAATAAAGAAAGGGGAGATGTGGGGGAAGATGTAACTGTGAGCAGTCAGCAAAGAGTTTATCAGACTCTTTGATAGACCCCATCACTCACACTTAAGAAACCTTTCATCCTTTATCACTGTTGTTTGGGAGAAGCTGGGCCAGTTCACTGATTAGAGGGACAGGAATTTCTGGTTGTAAGTGAATGGTATATAAGATGTATGTTGAACACAATAAAGAGAACGATTCTGAGAACTATTCTGATGCTACAAGGAACTGTGAGAGCTCCGACATTTAGTTTTGACTCAGGTCAAACACCACGGTTCCTATTTAGGACCATTCTATCAATAAATAAGAATTCTTATGTTGTTATTGAAACCTCGTGCAGACTTGTTTACACCTTTTAAACAGCCTATCAGTTAGAAGAAAAGATGTCAATGTCTGAAGAACCATTTGCTTTTGAAATCTTTTATTACAAAAATATGCATTTTTCTTTCAAATTCAAAAGGATGAATTGAACGTTCCTTTAATCATAAATGAAAAACTGTCCAGGAACCTGATGGAGTTTTCTGTGATTTTTTTAGAGAAGACATCCAAACTTCATAGCTCTTACAGGAATGTGAAAATGTGGAACGGGCAGACACGCTGTGTTGTGATATTTGTGATCAGTTTGACTATTTTATTTGCATATATAAATACTGAAAGGAAAAGTATACACCACCGTTGATTTATTTCTTTCTCCTTGGTAGACAGAACATTTTTTAGTTCCTCGGTGTAAAAATCTCAATATGATGAACGTATTTTCACTGTGGAGTGGCAGACAGAGCTGTTTTTAGCCCTTAGCTTTGAGGACCCATGGGCTGAAAAACAGCACATGCTAGTTAGTGAGAACAAAAAAAACTTTGCTAGAGAGTAACAAGATAATCTTATAAATAAAATTTTGCATGAGTGCTTACAGATGTGGTATGTGACATCAAATAATTTCAAGACAGAAGACTATCTGCCTTCCCAACCTCTGTTTTCTCTGAATGCTGACAGTCCTATCCCTGACTTTATCTCACTATAGGGTTCCCAAGAGTGCTTTTTCAGTCTTTCATTGGAAGTCTTCCTTTTGAAGGCTGAAAGAGCCATTATTTGTCAAAGAAAAACATTATTTGTCTAGAGCAGATGTGTCACCTTCTACCTCTCTCACCTTTCAACTCACAGGTGACCCTTCTTTTTCTCCTTTAAAACAGTGCTGGGGCTTCTTCTGTATGCTAGGAGGTGCTTGATCCTATTTAATATTAGAGATTATAATAATGTATTATAATAACATCTCTTCTTGTTATGTTCTACTTAAGATGAAATACTGTGGAAGGTCAACTTGGCCAATTTCAGGAAGGAAACGTAGAGATATGTTAAGAATGCAGCCTTGACCATGTTGACCTGGGGAAGCGGAAGGTTTGATGAGGAATTACAGTTGCTAGGGTTTATGGATTAAAGCATCTGGAACAATTCAGTATTTTTCCTCCATGGACACAGCCTCAGTGGAGCAATGTGTGCAAAACTGGCAGTAGGAAATCCTACGGAAATTGAATACAGTGGGAATGAATAGAGCAGGCTCAAGTTGAACCGTGCACCTGGAAGAATGCTTTGTTGGTTGAAGATGTGTTGCTCATCTCCTAAAGTGGGTCAGATTCACTTCCAAAGCCTGTTGTTTACTCCCAATGCATTTCATGCATGTTTTGCTGCATGTTTTGTCTTCTTGGAGATCTTGGAGATCGGATCCTCGGAGTCCCATGGAGATGGACAGTAGGGGCTAAGAACATTGCAAAACTCATCAGTCCTGGCTTTGTACTGCAGTGTTCACGTGATAAGTTTGGCATGCAGTGCCCATTGTACTCCAAGCTGTGCAGCCTCGCGTCCCAATCTGAAACTACAGAGAGACTTTCAGTATGAGGGCTGCTCTGAAAGTAATGCCTCCTGTTTTACGATGTGGGCACATGACGTCAGAGATGGATGTTGGTGGGATGGCAGTAGAGGTTGACCTTTCCACCAATATTCTGTTACTCTTTGTTGCCATATGAGAGATGGAAGCAGAGATGCAGTCTGACAAAATGGCTTCCAGCATGGAAGTGTGTATGAAGCAAATGCATGTGATTGAATTCCTGTGGAAAAAATGGCACCCAGTGATATTCATCAAGGCTTGCTGAATGTTTATGGAGACCAAACAGTGGATGTTGGCACAGGGAGGTGGTGGGTCGTGTGTTTCAGCAGTGGTGATAGAAATGTGAAAGATGAGTCACGTTCTGGATAGCCATGCACAAATGTCACATCACCAAATGAAGAGTGTCTCCATCAGCTTACCCACACCAATTGGTGGAGTATGATTTTGGGCGTTGTCCAGTTTAGGCACATTTTGAGCAACTGGTTTAGTATATGTCAATAGGTCAGTTCCTAAATTTAAACCAATGTTATGATGAAAAGTAGAGGTAGAGTTTGATTAGAAGAGAATTTTGCTTCAGCATGTTGTATCTTAGGAGTCTGCTGAGCAGTCAGATGTGGGAGCTGGACAATGCTGTCATACCAGGCAAATGGCAGAATTCTAGGTTCCTCGTTTTCCTGAAAGATGTCCTGTGTTTTACTTGTTGACAAACATTTGTGACCATCGTGCCATGGTAAAGATGACCTAACTCTTAAAACCTCAACAGAGTACAGCTCTGAAGAAGCACTGTTGTGCTCGTGACAAGCTATACAGCCAAGGAAGAACACATTTGTAGGGTCAAAGACGTGAGCCTTGCTCATGTAACCGATAGTAAATGGACATTTATTTCATTGTAACTGAACACACATGAGTGTTGTGAATGCATGAATGTAAATAATCCTTAAATAATGAAATAAGCACTGAGCTAAGATCTTGTATGAGAAAATCTATAATAATAAGGGGGGACATTCTGCCTGAGAGAGGTCTTCTCATCAGCCTGAGAAATAGTAAAAAGCAAAGCCAAAGGCAAAGATGTTTTATTCTGTTTCTTGCTCTGTTTTCTTGCCCTCCTTATGAGATAAAATTTGCACAGACAGCAGATTGTTATGGAGGGCTCCTGGTCTGTTGCGGAGTGGCCAGGCATGAGAGCATTGTGATGTCCTCTGTGGAAGGTTAGCTGTAAACCATTGTGAGTAATCAATGTGATTGTATTTCTGTTCCTAGTTCAAATTCCAAGTGAGTAAATCACAGCGTGTCTTGAAAACTCAATGAGCTACTTTTTGTTTTCCCATCATTTCTGGACTGCAGACCAGGGACCTCCTGGCAAGGGAGATTGAGCAATTAAGACTCTCAATTTGAGCTTTGGTTTTGGTTTGGTTTGAGGGAAGGTTGAAGCAGACATCCTGAGAGTGTTTAGTTTAGTGGGTGTTGAAACCTATTGTTCTGCCCTTGGGTGTATTTCTGGGAAGAGTATTGCTGTTGTTTGTTTTGCTGTCTTAAGTGCTTTCTGATAAAAACCATAGCAGAGAAAATCAGTGTCAATGGTGGAAACACAAAATGAGAGGAGAGAGTAAAAAGGCACATGTGGCAAAATGTACAGGTTCCAACTAAATGATAGACAAGGCAAAATATCCTAAACAAGTTCTATGGAGATGCAACTCTGCAATGGTCTGCTTTACTCTAACTGCTTAGGGGAAAAAAAGATTATTTCAATTCTTAACAACATGCAATTTTTTGGGAAGAACCTAGTGAAATACAATGTGAAAACATAGCAGAGCTTCTGGAAATGTTGAGTTGCTACGACAGCGTTGTAGGGAAACCATGTGAGCTTCATCTCAAAACAAACCTTGGTAAGTTTAAACCACATCCTTCTTGCTCTTGTTCTCTTCTTTTTTTTCTTTTTCTGTGTAGGTGCAGGTCAGTTGTGAGTTGAATTCTTAAATGGGAAAAATGCTGCTTGTTAATAAGTGCAAAATAAACCAGCACTAGAAAATGGTGAAAGGGATCGTGCCCTTGTGGTGAGGGCTGAGCTGAGAAGATAAACCAAACTGGTTCGTGCCTGTCAGGAGCTGGAGTCTGATGTTCTCCACCTCTGTGCACAGACTTGTGGTGAGCAACCGCTTCTTTGACTCCAAATAACCTGAAAAATGGCAAACCCCAAGTCAGAGAGAACTGTAAACCAGAAGAAAAATGTTACTCAGTGTTTGCCCCAGAGGTAAAGGTGTCATAAAAGGAAGGTAGCAGCACTCTCTGTCACTGGGAAAGCCAGTGTGGATTTCCACACAGGCAGCAAATGTCTCTTGTGTTGGGAAAACAGGTGCCTGAATGGCAGAGGCAGAGGGGATGATAGCAGCAGAACTGGAGCTGGTTGCCAGCTGCTTTCCTGAGAGGCAGACAGCAGGGGAAAGTCTGTAAATCTGCCAGCTCGAGGGACATCAGTTCCCAAGTAAAGAGATACAGAGAGAAAACGATCAAAAAGAATGGGATCTCTCAAACTGTATTTTCTCCAAGAATAACAGTCTGAACTGATAAGGTGCCTATTTAAAATATTACAATTCAGGGTATTTCAAAGAGCCCTGAATCAAATGCTGTACCTAGTGAAAGCACTGGCTAAATTTCATAGCTGTGTAACCTACTAACAACTGAGACAAAGGCTTAAAGAACACTTGGAGATGGAAAATGTTTGGAAAGTTGTAGATTTTGCTTTAACAGCAGTAAGCATCCTTTGTGTGTGTGTTTGTTTGTTTTGTTTTTGGTCTCAGGACTTGGTTTCCCTGCAGAGTTGAAGTAGTTAAGTTACGTTTGGCAAGCAAGCTATCCCAAAGTGTTCATCACCCCATCTCAGTGACTGACGTGCATGCTTTTTACCCATGGAAAGTGCTGCTTCTCTTCATCCCTCATCACAGAGTCTTGCTAAAGCATCATTGTGCCTTTATCATTAGTTAAATTAAACACTTATAGCAGAGTTACAGCAATTTATATGTGTGGTCTACTGATGTGTCAGCTTGATACCCTACCCAAAATTACTGGTGTCTGGCTTCCCAGTGTAAATGCATTTCTTGTTACACTGTTATCCACAAAAGCACTCCCTGAAACTTCCATACATTACAAGATCTAATAGTGACATGGACAAAAAAGAGGACATGTTGAGACAGAAAAAGGCAGTGCTTCATTCGTGGTGCAGATAACTACTGATCTTCATGGTTTGCCGGGGACTCTGATTACAGATCATCAGCAGAACTT